GAGGGAAAGGGCACAAAATGGTGGGATAGGGCACAAAATGGCAGGGATTTGGCCTAAAATGGCGGGATAGGACACAAAATGGCGGGGATTCGGCCTAAAATGGGGGGATAGGGCACAAAATGGTGGGGAAGGGCACAAAATGGCGGGATGAGGCACAAAATGGCGGGATAGGGCACAAAATGGCAGGGATTTGGCCTGAAATGGTGGAATAAGGCCTAAAATGGCGGGTCATGGCCCAAAATGGAAGAATACGGCCTTAAATGGGGGAATAGGGCCTAAAATGGTGGGATAGGACCTAAAATGGGGATACAGGACCTAAAATAGGGAGGTAGGGCCTAAAATGGGGGGATGGGGCCTGAAATGGGGGGATGGGGCCCAAAGTGGCGGGAGCGGCACCTCGGAGGGCGTTCGCTCCTTCAGCGGGACGTCGGCGTCGAAGCAGATTTCCAGCAGGGTCGTCCCAAAGCTCCACTTGTCGGCGGCCGTGCTGAGGTTCCCCACGTCCCGCACGCATTCCGGGGCAATCCAGGGAATCCGGTCCACGCGCTCTGAGGGGGAAGGGGGGGGGAAACAAGAGAGAGATCCTGTGGGAAAAGGTCTCGGGAGAGAGGGTGGGGTCGGCCCTGAGGGCGGGTTCGAGCTTTCCCACATGGAATTCCCACATCCCAAAGGCCAAAAATCGGGGAAAAGCCAGGCTGGGAAAGTAGGGGAGATTTCGGCAAAGCGGCTCTGGCAAAATCCCCGGGATTTATTATGGGAAGGGGGGGGAAAAACCCCCCGGATTTTCAACCAGGAATTCCATCCCTGCCCAGCTCCGGGTCGGGCTGATCCCGCACCTTCCCGGGAGAGCACCGTGAAGCTGATCCCGGGATCGCTGAGCTTCACGAAGGGAGCGGATCCGTCCTCCAGCCCTTTCCTGGCCAGCAGGATGTTCTTGGCACACACGTTCCCGTGCACCAGGTTTTTATCCTCCTGGGATGGAAAAAAAAGGAGTTTCCCATGTTCCCCCCCCCCCCCTTCCCCCACTCTCCTCCCCAAGGGCGAGGGAGCAACAACGGGGCAGGACAATCCTAAAAAGCGGGATCACCTCCCAGGGAAAGCACAGGGACGCTCCAGGGGAGGACCCCCCCGGGAATTCCGGCTGGAAAAGGGAATTACCAGGTAGCTCAAGGCGCTCCCCAGCTGTTTGGCCACGGCGATTTTCCAGCCCACGGAGATCCGGCCCTTTTCCTTGCGCAGCAGCACGTCCAGGGGGCCGTGCTCCACGAACTCCTCCACCATGATATCTGCGGGAAAACAGGGATCAAACCTTCCTTCCCGGGATCAAACCTTCCTTCCCGGCCCCGCTCCGGGCTCCGGCCCCGGGGAAAGGCGGGAATGGCGTCCCCACTCACTCTCGGATCCGCGGACGCAGACGCCGTGCACGAAGGCCAGGTGGACGTGGGACACCTGGCTCATCAGGCTGGCGGTCTCGAAGAAGGCCTGAGGGGAATAGGGATGGGAATGCCTGGGAATGGCAGGAAGGGGCTCCTGGGATTCGGGAGCGGCCAGGGGAGCATCCCAGAGCCACATCCCGGCCCTTGGAACCACATCCCAGCCCTTTTAGAGCCACATTCCAGCCCCCTGGATCCACATTCCAACCCCCTGGATCCACATTCCAACCCCCTGGATCCATATTCCAGCCCCTGGATCCACATTCCAACCCCCTGGATCCGCATTCCCACCCCTCAGCTCCCAGTTTTTCCCAGTTTTTCCCGGTTTTCCGGCTCACCAGGGCGATGTCCCTGTGGCTGGGGTCCAGCACTTTCAGGATCACGTGCATCTCCCGCCCGTTGTTGTTCTGCTCCGTGGAAAAATACTCGGCCTCGTCGTCATTCCCGGAGTTCCCGCAGACGCTCAGGACGCCCTCGTAGATGTTGGTCCGGGTGCCCTGGCCCAGGTGGGCCCGCTGGGAAAAAAACAGGGAAGGAAAAAAGTGGGAATGCTCATCCAACTCCCTCCGTTATCCCACCGTGGGAAAAGCTGATTCCATGGCGGGGGTTCCCTCCCTTTTTCCTTGGAAATGGAAGGAGTGAAAGATCGAAACAATCCCAAAACTGGCCCAGGATGGGGGAGTGAGAGGATCCTCCTGCTCTGGATCCCGGGATCTGGGCTGAATCCTGGGAAGGCAGAGAGGATCCCTGCCCAGTTCCATGAATCCTGGGAAGGCAGAGCGGCTCCCTCCCTCCCCAGGAATCCCGGGAAAGCAGAGCAGGTCCTTCCACACCCCCCCTGCCCGTCCCCAATCCCGGGAAAAGCAGAGCAGCCCAAATCCCGGGAAAGCGGCACCTGAGTGATCTCGTCCTTGCGGATCTGGTGGAAGCTGAGCTGGGTGAGGTTCAGGATCTGCTTCCCGTCGTCCTTCGCCTTCCTGGTGATCAGCAGGTCCGAGATCTCTGGGAAGAGGAAGGGAAGGGGAAGGGCCCCCCCACGCTGTGAAATCCAGGAATTCCCGGCGTTCCCAATCCCGGGGGCCGCTCCGTGTCCGTTACCTCCAGGTTTGGGGGGGCAGCACCTCCTGACCGTGAAGTTTTCCTCCCCGGAGCGGAGGGTGCAGCCCTTGAGCACGTCCAGGAGCTCCCGCAGGGAAGGGAATTCCCGCTCCCAGCCTTCCAGCACGA